CCTTCACTTCTTCTTCCTCTTCATATTCTGTTGTGGGAATTTCATTTAAAAGTTCTTCAAAGTATTCCTTCCATCTGCTCAATATTTCTTCGTTACTTACTAAATTTCTTCTACTTTTGTTTTTGTAGTGTACAGGTTTTCCTTGGTACCCCTTTTTCTCATTTTCACCCCTTGATATGTTTTTAATTTCTCTATTTTTATAGCTCTGTTCTATACATTTTAATTTATCTTCATTGTATTTTCTTTTCTTTGATCTTATTATTCTTTTGGCTCTTTTCCTTTGTTCATTGTATTTTCTCTCTATCTCTGTTGGTTTTTCTTGCATCATTTTCATTCTTAATTTATTTCGTTCATCTAGTTCCATTTTACATTCATCGTTGAACCATTCTTTGTTTTCGTGTTTTATATTTCTATTACTGGCCTGAGCTGCTTTGGTCATACATACTTTTAATTGCATCCATGTTTGTTCAATATCCCCACTTTCTACAATATTATCTAATCCTCTACTGACTATTCTTTCTTATGTCAGTAGTCTCACAGGTTTAGTTGCTTTATACTTTTTCTTCCGCTGGTTTCTAAGCACTAGAATAATTTGTTTCGTTTGTATTCCAACTATAAAGTGATCTAAATCTGCATCTGGACCTCTGTATGTTCTTATGTTCTTTATACATTTTTGCATATTTTTTCGACAAGCACATAATCAAGTTGGTTTATGGTTTTCCCATCCGGTGATCTCCACGTTCCTTGGTGTATTCTTTTGTGTTGGAAGTACGTGCTCATAATGATCATATTTCTTTCTTTCGAGAAATCAATTAGGAAGTGGTCATTTTCATTCGTTGTTTCATGCAAGCTGTATTTTCCTATGGTGGGTACATAATATATTTCTCCTTTTCCTATTTTTGCATTACTATCACCTAGCACTATTTTTACATCGTATCTGGGGATATATTCGAATACTGTATCAATTTGATTATAAAAGTCTTCCTTTATTTCTATACTCTTGTCTTCAGTCGTTGTATGTATATTTATAAATGTTATTTTTGGTGTTTTTCTCTTATTCTAAATACACATATTCTCTCTGAAATTGGTTTGAAGTCAACGATTAGATCTTTCAGCTTTTTATTTACCACAAAGCCCGTGCCTAACATTCTATTTTCTCTCCCGCTGTTGAAAAATAAATAGTAGTTTATTTCCATTGAGTTTTGCCCTAATTGTTTTGTTTCTTATAGTGCTACTATTTCGAACTTGTATTTTTTGCATTCGTCGATTATGTGTTTTAGTTTTCCTTCCTCGTACGTTCCTCTTACATTCTATGTCCCTACTAATATGCATTCGTTTATTACTTTGTTTCTAGTAATGCTTTTTACATTTTGTTTATCTCTTGTACCTTTAGCTTGCCAAGTCGTCTTCTTTATTTCAGCCTGTTTAAATTTTGCTGTTAGTTTTTTGGTTTTACATTTTTATCTTTTACTAATTGTCGTTGTCTGTTATTCCATGTCCATATCTCTCCATCTATGATTAGCTTCTGGAATACTATTTTTACATTTTTTTCCATTATGTCTCTCTGCCATAGCCTTACTTCTAATTTCTTTCTGGATAATTCTTTCCTCCTTTGACATATCATCATTTATGTAGATTCGCTCGCCTGTTTTGTTTTTTAGTTTATTTTTATTTTTCATTACTTCAATTTTGTTCTTCACGCTGTTAAGTTCCACTAAGGCACTATTTTCTCCTATTTTTCTCGCTCCATTTACATCTACTGACACTTGTAGTTCTTTTTATAGAAAGTTCTCTACGGCCTCTCGCAATAGTTTTTGATCATTTGTGTCAATGTTTAGTCCTTGTATTACTACATTTTTCCTCTTTTTTTCTCTCTCCAGTTTCTCTATTTTTTTCGTTTGCTGCAGTAATTTCCTTCTCTAATTGGCCTATTTGTTTAACAGCTTTTTCGTTTGTTTCTCGCAACTTTCTTATTTCATCTTTGTAGTCGCTTTGTTGATCTTTTAGTTCAGTAATTTCCCTCTTTAGTTGCGTAATTTCGTCTCGTGATCTATATTGTTCTTTTTTATGTCTTTTACATCCATTGCTAATTCTTTCATCATTTTCATTATTTGGTCGATTCCACTTGTGTTTTCTTCTTCTTTTTTTGTGGGGTTCTCAGTGTTTTCTTTGATCTCCTGGAGTAATATTCATCATCTTCTCTCCTCCTTTTTCCTTCGCCAGTTAACTCCTCATCTGAATTCATTGTTCTTTATTTATAGTAATTTTCTGTGCTAGGGTTATTGGTCAATGCGTCACGTGTGCAGTTGGGCGAAAACTCTACTCAATTTAAATTTCCGCCCACACCCGCGCTGGCTGCGTCCAATACTCCAACACTTTTATTCCTAAAACTCAGAAGCCGGCCCTGACTATATGTTTATATTGTTTGTATCAAAGCTACTATTATTACTATTAACACTAAAATTCTGCTTACTTACGATTTCCTGTTGTATTGTTTACTTAATTATCTGACTAATGATCTTAAAAACCAACCGATAAATATTTCTTATCTTTTTCTCACTTTGCCGAAATCGAATTTCCTTATCAATGCTACTTTCACTATTTTAATTAAATTACTTACGTTTTTTTTTTCAAAGTAGACGAATCGAAAGTTCTTTTTTTATAAACACTTATTATCTATATTTTACTTTAATCACTTGTATTTATTATTTGACTTGACACCGTGAAAAGGTCCGATATGCGAATTTATTTTCGTCTATGTCGTTGTCTGCAGGTGTGTTCGCTTTGGCTGCTAAACCCAAAAACGCAGTTCTCTGCCCAAACTCCTATTAGCCATATTAGTATTCAAAAATAAAAATTACAATGGACAACTGATGACAATTCACAAAATCAAAACATTTACGTCAATAAATATTATAGTAATCATGCCACTATCACTTGTTTGAATTAACATTTGAAAAAAAGTTTCAGTGTTTATGAGATAACTTTTTGTGTTATTATTTTTACTTATTTTTGCTTTTTTAAAAGTATTTACTTCAAAAAGTTATGGCACGAACCGATGGATGGCATTTCGAACATATAATTTAAAAAAATTAAATATATTTATAAACAGTACATTGAGTAAATAGTAAATGTGATAACAAAATTGCCTTGATTTCTTTACCGTCCGCGACAGTTCTCCATTTTCACTTATGTAACCAGGTCTTCTAGCCAAGTCCTCTTGAGTCTTCGTGCCCCCACTGATGACTGATATAATTCACTGATAATTCACTGATAATTGGGCTATGGTGCGTGGAATTAAAAATTAGGGCCTTGTTGGCGTAAAGTGATATGGCATCTTTTATGCTAAGCGCACACACATCGAATTTGGACGGTCGATAAAAGTTCGATCGAACAAATTCCTTTGGTGGCAAGAAGAAACAAATGTGAGCGGGCACACACATCGATCGCCAAACGGCACGGCATCGATGTCGTGTGATAGTCGTGTGGCGATCGATGAATGTCACTGCATTCACGGCTGCCGTGGTCGTTGCCGTCGTTCCAAGGCGTATAGTATCAAATGACCGGTCGCACACACATCGATATTTATCGACCGACCAGAGGACCAGTTGCGTTTTTTGACACTGCTCAAGGTACGTCGCTCCGTGTTGCTACGTGGTTCTGTGTTGCTCATTGTGATTTTGTGTACTCCACCTAACAAACCTTTGTGGATTTAAAAACGTCATCGAATAAATATCGTGTAGTGTGCGCGCAAGGCATCATCGACAAAAGTTCGGTCGAACTTTTATCGACCGTCCAAATTCGATGTGTATGCGTCTAGCCTTACGGTTGGTGCTCCTAGGCTATTGTGATTGCATTGCTCACATACCAAGGGGCGTTAGCTTTCATACGCAGTGTTTTTTATTGAAAAGTCTGCGAAATTTTTTTGTTTGAGGGCTTGCTAGAACCTCAGAGTTCTACGCCGTAAGTCCATATTGGTTTTAGTATGACTTTCTAAAGCAGTATTTTATTCTACAATGACAGTTATGACTTTCTGCCAAGTAACCAATGCATTTGTTTTTATTTTATATTGAACTGAGTTTTTTTGGCGTTAACGTGTTGCTTCCAGGTCAGCTTTCAGTCTAAATACAACCCAAGATATTACACAACGTCCATAAGTACGTCTTCTTTTTGTAAATATGATTTATGCTGATTTTTCGTTATTGACTTTAATTTTCCATTATGTCAACCAATTCTCTAATGTATGCAAGTAATTTTGCAGCTTTTCAGATGCTATGTCTGGGTCTTTGTTTGAAACTAAAACGGCTGAACTATCGGTCGCCACTGCAACGTCACCTATAATAGGTATGTCAGCAGTAAATATTAGGTACAAGAAGAGACCGAGGACACTTCCCTAAGGAACTCCGGATTGGATTAAGTGATAGGTTGAGAAATCATTATTGATTTTTACTTGGAATAAAAGTTCGTTAATATAGGATTTCAGAATAAGTACATATCACTAGGCAGTATACATTTTAATTTATATAGCAAACCATTGTGCCAGACTTTATCAAAAGCCTACTGAATATCAATAAATACTGAGGTACACAAAATCTTTTCTTTCAAACTTTTCTTAATTTTATTTACTGTTCTATGACACTGTTGGATTGTTAAATGAATTTGTTAAAAGTAGTAATAAATTTGGTTAAACGTTTGATTTGTATCAATTCTGTTTCAATTTGCTGTGTATGCTTATATTTTTTTATTTGAGTCATTACGATTTTTTAGGTAAACTTTAACCTTATTTCGACAATTATAATTTAACATTTCCTTCACTGTTCAAAGGTTATTGTATTGCAGTAAGAGTTTACAATGTAATATGCTCGTAATAAATTTTGGATAATTTGAATGTAAGAGTTGGAACATTCCAATTGGTCAGTACGGACCCCTACATATCCGATTGAAGCAAGGACCGGACTAAATTCTAAAATAAAGTTAAAGTAAAAATAAAAAGATATCACCTGACCACCCTCTCCTTCGACGCTCTGCAGTTCTCGCCATTCCTCGATCGTTTGTGCCAAATCCACTGTGCAAAGGGGTACTTTCACCTCTCCTATCTGGTCGTGTTTAGAAAATCGGTCGAAGTCAAAGATGGCAAAGACTAGGGTCTTATTCATGGCATCGGAGTAGGGCAGATTCTACAAAAAGTTAAAATAACATATATGGTTGATTGATTAAGATGGCGGATCTAAGCTAAGATGGTAGATCTTAGATCCGCCATTCAGAATATGAAAAATAATAAGGCTCCAAACATTGGCGATCTGATTCAGTTTAGACCAAAAACACTACAATAGCTCATTTAGATAATATTCAAGTATGTTTAAACTATGCAGCTATTCAAGAATTTGAGACAAGCTATAGTCGTTGCTTTGCTTAAATTTGGTAAAGATCCCAACGGCCCCAAAAACTATCGGAAAATATCTTTGGTTTGTCAGCTTTTCAAAATACTTGAGCATATAATCTATTAAAGATTAGAATATTTAGAATAGACGAAAAACTCTAGGACCGAGAAGATCATATACATTACAAATACTAAATCTTACCCAACACATCGAAGACAGGTACCAAAGACACCTCATATGCAGGACGATATTTGTAGATCTCACTGCTGCCTATGACACTGTAAATCACAGAAGACTTCTCCAAAAACTATATGACATTACAATAGACAATAAACTCGCTTGTCTTATCAACGTCTTATTGCAGAATAGAAGCTTTATCGTATCTCTACATGGTAAGAATAATATATGGAGATCACAGAAGAACGAACTCGCTTAGGGCACATATACTGTATATTATTTACAGAAAAAAACAAACACATACCAATAGATATTATGAATTTCATATATGTAGACGTTACAGCTATTGTTGCACAAGCAAAAACTTTTTCCAACGTAAAGCCAACACTAACTTAAGTACAATATCTTAACAGCCTTTTTTTTTGAACCTATTCTCTATCCTTCCATTGTTGGATATAGGTCTCCCCCAGTTCTCTCCATCTTTCCCTATCTTGAGCTGTTCTCTGCCATGTGGGACCTCCTTGTTTCCTGATGTCATCTTTCCACCTCATCTGTGGTCTGCCTCTTGATCTCTTTGCATTGTATGGACGCCACTTTGCGATGGCATTGTTCCATTGTCCGTCTTGGAGACGTTCATTGTGTCCAGCCCATTTCCATTTCAGTTTTGCTGCTTGTTCTATCGCGTCTACTGTCTTTGTTCTGGTTCTGATCCACTGGTTACGTTTTCTATCTCTAAGTGATACACCCAACATTTGTCTCTCCATCGCTCTTTGTGCCTTCCTTATCCTATCCAAATTGGCCTGTGTAAATGTCCATGTCTGTGCTCCGTAGGTGAGCACCGGTATGATACAGGAGTTATATACCTTGCTTCGTAAGTATAGAGGGATTGTTTGATTTTTTAGAACGTAAGAAAGTTTGCCGAACGCTGCCCATCCCATTCTTACTCGTCTCGATGTTTCGGCTGTTTGATTTTCTCTATTAGCTCTGATTGCTTGTCCTAGATAGATATTCTCATTTACCTGTTCTATTTTTTCTGTTTTTATTTTTATTGCCTCTTGGTCTTCCGTGTTTGTCATTACTTTTGTTTTGTTGAAGTTAATTTTTAGGCCTTTTTGAAGTGATTTTTCATGAAGTTCATTCAGCATTAATTCCAGTTCTTGTCGTTCCGAGGAGATCAGGAGTATATCATCCGCATATCTAAGGTGATTTAGGTATTTTCCGTTAATACATATTCCTCTGTTTTCCCAATCTGTTGATTTTATTATGTCTTCGAGGGTCAAGGTAAACAGTTTACGTGAAATTATATCGCCTTGTCGGACTCCTCGTTTAACTTTTATATTATCTGTTATTAATTTGTCGTCCAGAATTACGGTCATGGTTGCATTTTGGTAAATATCATGTATCAATTGTCGGTATCTTGAATCTATTCTACTATTGACCAGAGCTTCTTCAACCGCCCAGTGTTCAATGCTGTCGAAAGCCTTTTCATAATCTACGAATGCTAAGTACAGCAGAAGGTTGTATTCATTGGTTTTCTCAATTAAGATTTTAAGCGTATGTAGATGGTTGATTGTGCTGTATCATTTTCTGAATCCGGCCTGTTCCACTGGTTGGTAGTTATCAAGTTTATAGGTTAGTCGGTTGTTTATTATTCTTGTGAAGGTTTTATATAGTTGTGACAAAAGGGAAATAGGACGGTAGTTGTTTAGGTCTGTTCGGTCTCCTTTCTTATGTATTAAGATTGTGTTGGCATTTCTCCATTGTTTGGGTATTTTACCTTCAAACAGACATTTGTTGAACAGTATTTTTAGCATTTTTTTTATCGTGTCTCCTCCTTTTTTCAGCAGTTCCGCCAGTATTTTATCCTCACCGGCCGCTTTATTTCTTTTCATGTCGTTTATGGATTTTTCGATTTCATCTTCAGTTATTTCTGGTAATACCTCTGAGCCAACATTTTGTATTTTCCTCGTGAGATTCTGTTTAGATAATAGTGGTGGGTCATTTTTAGAACTGTATAGGTCTGTGTAATATCTTTCTGTGATTTTTACTATTTCTCCTAGATCTCTTTCTTCATTGTTCTCAGCTTTAAGCATGATTAGTTTTCTTTTTCCTATATTTGTCTTCATTGTTTTTAAACTTTTGTTCTTCTCTATGATTTTCCTAATGCGGTCTTCTTGGTATTTCTTTAAATCTTCCTTTATCTGTTTTCTTATGGTTTTATTCAGTTCGGTATACTCCACTGTATTTCTTTTGTTATCATTCACTAGTTGTCGTCGTTTTTTTAGCATATCTTGTGATTTAGCGCTAATTTTTTGTTGTTTTCGCTTTTGTTTATTAGCAATCTTCAGGCATGCTTCTAGTAGTTCTGTTGTTATTTTATCATTTAATTAGTCTAGTTGCAGACCCTTAGCTGTGATATGTCACTTCTTTTTAGCTGGTTTATGTATTGTTCTTTGCGTTCTTTAAGAAGTTCTGTATCTATCTCTTTTTTAGATGGTTTAAATTTTTGTCTGTCTGTTGTGAAGTTAATTTTGATTTTGGCTCTAACAATTCTGTGATCACTTCCTACGGAAATCATGTTTATGACCGTAACGTCTTGTACTATGCTCTTTTCTTTGAATAGGATGTAATCAATCCCATTTTTTGTTAAATCATTGGGCGCGACCCACGTCCATTTTCTCTGTGGTTTTTTATTGAAAAAGGTATTCATCGGCATATAGACCGTTCGTTTCCATATAGTTCATTAATGTTTCTCCTCTTTCGTTTCGTGTTCCATATCCAAAGTTGCCGATTTTATTTTCTGATTCTTCTAGTTTTCTCCCTAATTTGGCATTGAAGTCGCTTATAATGATTGTGTAGGTGCTTATGTATTTGTTCACTGTTTGTGTCAATGATTCGTAGAATATATCCACTTCTTCATCCGTATGTAATGATGTAGAGGCGTAAATTTGTATGATCTTTAAACTTATATTTTTATTTATGTCCATTATTAGAGCCGCAATCCTTACTGAAATTCCAATATATTGTCGAATCTTATGGACATGCTGATTAGAAATAAGAAAACCGACACTAGCTAATGATTCTTCTTCAGTTCCTTTATAGTATAGTACATTCCCGGATTCCAACTTCATACAGGCTTCCCCTTTTCTTTTTATCTCACTTAATCCTAATATATCCCATTTCATCTTTTTTACTTATTCTTCCAGTTCGGCTAGCTTTTCGTCTCTCATCAGTGATCTGACATTATAAGTCGCAATATCCAGTTTCGTTGCTTGTTTTCGTTTTTTCTGGCAATCTTCTAAAACCCAGGGATTTTTAGCACCCTCTGCTCTTTCCTCGATCCTACCATTGCCTTGGAAGGTGACTCCGGAGCTGCTGGGGACTGAGGGCCAATTCTTACGTGTATCTATCATAAGAGGGGGTAGATTGGCCGTGAACTCACCACGCTGGCCAGACGGATTGGTAAGTGTGTTTCAGCCGCCCACTCTGGGAACAGACGCTGTTTGCAGCCGCCCACTCTGGGTCAGACGCTGCTGTTGTCGCAGTATCACAGCCGCTTAACTCATAATGTGAGTAACGCCTGTGAGTATCTGGAATTAAGCCTACAGAATTTTTACTTCCCATAGCCTTAATCCTTAACAGCCTTAAGTACAATAAAAACATACTAAAAATCAAAATTATCAATAAGTCAGCAAGGATCATTAGTAACTGTTTCAAACTCACACTGAGACATAAGATCTACCCTATCGTAGCTATCACTCTACCTAATATCCTTAATTTTGTAGCTAGAGATTTGTAACGAAACAGACAAACTGTAGAGTCGTAGCATTCATTACACGATTACCAGCTTACACTACGAAGACTCAAATCGAGGAAAACCTTCCTGACTAGAAGCAAGATATAACAGAAAAACTTCGTCTTAACAATTGGAAAAAAGTTATTCCTCGCTATCTGAATCCTCGAGATAAACCTATGTCTGGTACAAGTCGGATTGTTCAAGTATAAAACGAACATGGAGAAAGGGGGACTGATGCTTGCTGACTTCGATACCCTGTGTGAATGTGGCGTGACTTACGTGTTGACGCTCCCAAAGACTTGTTGTATTACTTTTGATATATATTTTTTAATTTATATAAAATTAATTGATGATCTTGACGACCTGTCTGCGATTTGTGTTAAAATTGCCGATCGTTTAGATTATTGGACTCTGATACTGCTGATACACGGGGTTCTTCCTCCTCCTCAATTTTAATTTGAAGATTAATTAACTCCAAATTTTAATTTAAAGTTTTTCAAAACCATATTACCTCTTAAATTAGCAGTAATATTAACATATATTTTTTGTAATAAATATATTAGATGTTCTGGCCTACCCATTTCTTTAAGTATATGCCACATTTTATCCCATTTTACGACATTGAAGGCCTTGGAATAGTCAACAAAGCATAAATATGTTTCTATGTTAAACTCTCGAGATTTTTCAATAATTTGACGAATATTAAGAATATGTTCTCTTGTTCCTGTACCTGGGACGAATTCGCATTGTTCTTGGGGATATTGTGGTAAGACAATTGATTTTAGTCTTTCATTGATGACGTTTAGAAGTATTTTTCTCGTGTGTGATATCAATGCTACTATACAGTAATTACTGCAATCCGTCGGTAAACCTTTGTTTATATATGGGAATAAACGTGAGTTTATCCCAGTCATTTGGCTACTTTCCGGTATTCTAGATCTCATTGCAAATTCTAAGCATTACCTCCGTCCCTAACTTTTCATTTCTTTGAGCGTTTTAGCTGTTATTCCATCTTCTCCTTCTGCTTTTCTGAATTTTAGCTTTTTAATTGCCGCGTCAATTTCTGATTTGAATATTTGAGGTTCTTTGGCTAACTTCTTTTCTCTGTATTATTGTTTAGGTCGTGGTTAGAGAATAGTATTTCGCAATATTGTTTCCACACCTCTACGATACCGTCTGGGTTTGTTATGGTATTTCCACTATTATCTTTGATGATTTGTGTTTGCGGTTTTAATTCTCTTGCTAGATACTTGAATTTTAAAAAAAGTTCTCTAGATTTTTGGCGGTTAGCTTGTTTCTCTAGTTGTACGCATATGTTTTTAATACAATTATTTTTGTCACGTCTGCACAATTGTTTTAAATTTGTATTTTTGTGCATATCTCTACTTCTTTTTGTTTTGAATTTGACGTGCCGTTTCCAAGTTTTCGTCTTTCTTTTACAATATTGAGAGTCTCTTTAGTCATCCAATGTTTTTTTTATACGGGGTTATTGCATCGTAATTCGAGGTACAATATTTAATACATCTATTTAGTTGCCCTCTGTTGAATAAACCTTGCACTGAGTACTATCTCCTGCATGCAATTGACAAAGCCATTTAGACTGCTCTTTTCTGAATGAACATTTATTTGTTCGAACTGAACACGTAAAGTGAATATAAGAAAGAAGGTGGTAGTGAGTATACTAATGTTAAGACAGGTGTAGGAGAGATTAATCTGCGCGGAAAAGAAAAAGGCTTAAAACGAAATAGGACATACTCCTAGGTAAGGAGGTAATAAGGATAACCAGTCAGCTAAACTGAGAACTGTACATGGGACCCGTAACTATGAATAATTCTAGATTTGCTCATTGAATATAATCGAAAATTCCACTAGACTGTTTAAAGAATCTACTGCCGTCGAGACTCCTAAGTTCTGAAGTCACGAGGAACCTTTCGAAACAATTCCAATATTTGAAGTAAGACGGAGTGACAAATTTCCGAAGATAAAAGCGGAAATATGACAATATAAATAAGAGAAAGTAAATTGTAGGAGTTATTCGACAATATAAAACTGTAGCGGTAAGTAATAAATTCTATAAATTAATTGTGGTTTTAGTGTTCATGTAAATAAATTAAAATAAGTGTTAGAAAACTGCAAATAAATTTAAATATATAGTACAATAGGAGTACAGGTCTACCTAATGGCCAACTAACAACGCCTCTGGGGAATGGATTATAATACAAGCTCCGGATAAAATTTTTATAATAAAAGTTACCTCGAGAAAAATCTAATATAATAGTAATAATTAATGGAACATATACCAATTACCCGCAGCATATAACCGGTGTAGAACAGTTGATAAGAAAAACTAGATAAGAAAAAAGCGGAGACTGAGAAATTTCATGTGATGGTATTACTCCAAGATATCTTGAATTAAACAAAATCTTGAACTTTTTCTGACTCAGAAAAGACAGAATATTTGTCAAATGAGTTGCGTACCTCAATCCAGAAAGGTTTTAATACAGAAAAACTTACTTAATTTAATATAAGTAAAAATGTTAAACAAAAACACTTATAATCTTTAAAACACTTTTTTATCATATACAGAAAAAACAAAAACTTACCTTAAATACGAACGTTTCATTGAAAACGGGATTTAACGTTTTCCTATGAACCTTTGTTTCAAACTTTTTCTTCTTGTCAGGAAGAAGATAAACTTTGACGTAAGGATCAGAAGTCCCGCCCATATCAAGTGCCGGTAATTCTTCGGCTTGAATGACAGTGACAGCAAAGCTGTTTTGATTGAAGTCATAGTCCAACTAAAATATAAAATGTTAATATTAAATACATGTAACCCGATTAAAATGAGAGAAATATTGTCAATATTTTTAATGTGTTGTAACATAAAAAATATTAAAGGTTGCATTTCAAATCGTTAATGATTAAACAATGAAACATATTCCTATACCTTTCCCCTATCTGGCCATTGATAATGTTTGACGTCATTACTTGTATGTAAAAAAAACCATTAATAAATATAGAAAATTGTGTTCTGCTAATGAATTTGTTAAAGGTTCTACCAGTTTGACCGATTTTAATTTTTGGTCAGTCATCACATGTAAATTTGTAAACACCACCGTGTACTTGCTTTTCTTTTGGCTCTTGTTGTTCTTAATATATTTGCGTTTATTTTTGTTCTGAAAGCTGGTATTGTTCATTTTTTATATGTTTGTCTACTTTTATTGATTTCTTGCCTGTATATTTAATCAAGCAGAAAGTACATTAGTTTTATCTCTGTTGCTATTTCCCATTGCTGTATTCCCATTTTGCGTAGATCACTGGCTACTGCGTCCTTCTATCTCTTTCTTGGGAAAACAACTGACCTTATGTTCAGGAGTCTTTCGTTAGTCGATCTTAGCACGAGGCCCTCTCATCTTATTCGGTTTGCTTTAACGTAGCGTACTAGGTTTTCATCTTTATATACTGTCTGGAGTTCATCATTGTATCTTCTCCATTCTCCTGTTGTCTCTTCTCTGCAAGACCCATAGATAGTTCGCAGTATCTTTCTTTCCAGTACCAGTAATTTTGTCGTTTCCCGCTGGTTTAAAGTCCATGTCTCGCTTCCACACGTTATTGTGGGACGAAATATTTGTCTTATATACTCTTATTTTTGCTGGTATTGAGAGAGTATTTTTGATTTACGTACGGTCATTAATGAGTAATATGCCCTGTTTCCTGCAATGATCCTCGCTGCAACGTCCTTTTCATATTTATTTTCAGATGTTATGATCGCTCCCAGGTACTTGAATTCTTTGACGACTTCAAAGTTGATTGTTACGTTTTGTCTTATCCTTGGCCTTGGGTTCTTTGTAACCCCCATGTCCTTGGTGTTGTCCTCGTTGACCTGCAGACCAACTTTTTTGGTTCCGTTTTTGAATAGGGTGAAAACTTCTTTTGCATCTCTGGTGGATTGTCCCATTACGTCCACGTCATCCGCAAACGCCAATAGTATTTTTGATTCTTGGGCGGCAAATTAGTTTGTCAGTTGTGGTTGGGCTTTTCTTACCGCATGTTCCAGTACAAAATTAAATAGCAGGGGGGCGAGAGGATCTCCTTGTCTAAGCCCGGTGTCAATGAAGAATTCCTCCGACGTGGTGCTGCTAATTTTGATCCGTCTGGAAGCGTCCTCTTCGCTTTCCTGTGCTAATCGTACCAGCTTTCCAAGTACTCCCAATTCTACCATGGTCTCCCACAATGCTTCTCAGCTAACATAATCGTAAGCTTGTTTAAAGCCCACAAAAATTTGGTATACATTGCGGTTAAATTCCCAGTTTTTTTACTATCTGGTCTATGGTCGACCTTCCCGGTCTGAATCCACTTTGATAGTCACCTATTATTTCCTCTGCGTATGGAGTTAATCTTCTAGACAGTAATATGGATATAATTTAGATCGTTGTATTGATTAACGATATTCCGGCATATTTATTTGTCTCCCTTCTTGTGGATAGGTACTATATGGCTTTCATGCCAGTGTTTCGGTATTTCTTCTCTTTTCCAGACTTCTCTTATAAGATGATATATCTTAAGGTGGAGCTTTTCTTCCCCTTTTTAGTAGTTCCACCTATATGTTGTCTGGGCCTGGGGCTTTATGTTTTTTTATGGACGAAATTGCGGACTTTACTTCAGCTAGTGTGAGCCCTGGTATTTCAGGTTCAGCTAACTAGTACTGTCGTTGTGGGTTTTTCTGTACTTAATAGTTGCTCAAAATACTTTCTCCATTGGCGGCTTATCTCGTCGTTGTCTGTTAGCAAATGTCCTGAATTGTCTTTTATAAATCTTGTGGTGTTGATCTTGTTGCCCTTCATTGTTTTTAGATCCTTATAAAACTGTCTAGACTGACCGGTTCTATGGTCTCCTCGTATCAGTATGGGTAGGTTTATGTAATACGGAGAACTCATGTTTATTTTTAAGTCTGATAAATTTAAAAATGTATGGATTAATTCTTTTTTGCTTCTATTATTGTAAATTCAATATAACTATACAGTGAATTAATATAAGATAAGAATTGGTATATGGGATCTTTTCGATAGTAAGTTATATATATATATATAATATATATATATATATATATATATATATATATATATATATATATATATATAGTGTTTTGTTTGTCTGCATTGGAGAACCATCTCTAAATGAAGCCAAATGTACGTTTAAAATTTTTGTAAATCTTCGTTTCTGCGAATATTATTTTTTGCATGTTTCTGTTTAATTTTTTTTAAGTTACTTCTAAATTTATGAGTAAACTTAAATACATATACAATAACATCTTTAATACTACATATTGAGTTAGAACTGATGAAGCTTTAGAAGTATAAAGCGAAACGTCTTCTATAAACTTATGAAGTAGTTGACTTATATATATATATATATATATATATATATATATATATATATATATAAGAAGGTTCCTACAGCCTCTGCCTCCTCTCGCATTTCAACCGCCATCGTTTTCTACCCATCCATTCGTCTTCTTTGATGGCTCTATCTCTCATTATGTATCGTACATTTTCTTCCCAGGTAACTGAAGGATTTCCCCTTCTTCTTTGTTGTGGTATGTAATTTAAAGCTCTCTTTGGCCATATGTTTTTATTCATTCGCTTCGCGTGGCCATATCACACTAGTTCTCTCTTTTCAATTATGTCTACACTGGAATATAGGGTATTTGTCCTCCCTCTAATATCTTTATTCCTGATATGATCTTTTTTGGATACACCACATGTTCTCCTTAGAAAATCCATTTCTACTACTTCTATTCTTTTTCAATCTTTTTTCGTGATCTGCCAAACTTCTGCCCCATAAGTCATATTTTCGTTTTTTGTTTAATATCTTTAGACCACAGTATAGAGTTTATAATGTTAACCGCTTTTTTTCCCTGCTGCGTTATGTTTTCGATGTCTCTTTTCGTAGTGCCTTCTTTAGATATTATAGATCCGAGATATTTATATTCCTTGCATGTTTTTGTGTTTCTAATTTCTAATTCTGGATCTTATTTATCATCTCCTATTTTAAGATACTCTGTCTTTGACATATTCATATTGAGACCCCATTTTTCATATTCTTTCTTTAGTTTTCTAAACATGTAGTCCATGTATTTGTCTATGTCTATTCCATTCCGGATACTTATTTCCTCCACTGCTCTAGCGATGATTGAATATATATTTTAAATAAGGTCGGAGATAGACATCCTTGTTTAAGCCCCTTTGTTATTGGAAATGATTCAGTAATAAAGTTTCCTTATTTAACGACACTTTTTGCATTTTTGTATATATTTGCGATAGTATCCACATACTCTCTACTAAAACCTACTTTCGTCAATGTTTGAAATGTTTTTCAAAGGTACCGTATCGTATGCGTTCTCTAAATCTACAAACAATAGGTGGGTAGATAGATCCCTTGCCTTACGTTTTTCGATTACCTGCTGCAGAACGAATATACCATCAGTGCACGATCTTCCTGGACGAAATCCATTTTGTTCTTCTATCTCTTCGTATTCTGATTCTATTCTTTTTTTATTATTCGACCGTACAACCGTACAATTCATCAGGGATATTTTGTCCTTTTAAGCATTTGTTAAATAGTTGAACCAACATCTCATGTAATATTTTTGGTTTATAGTTTATCAACTCAATTGGGATGTCTCCAGGTCCTGCTGCTTTACCGTTTTTCAATCTTTTGAGGGCATCGTTTAACTCTTCGTTTGTTATTTAACTTGTGTGATATTTCTTCCATTTCGATCTCGTGGAATTTACATCTATCCTCTGTCAGTAAGACCTCATAATGGTGTTTCCACTTTTTCAGATATATTAACTGTAAGTTAGATTTTTCCTTTCCTTCCCTTCGGAGAGACCTTATTACCTTCCAAGCTTGCCCAACTCTTGTTCCACCCATATACCTATCTACCTCTGCACATTTTCGATCCATTTTTACTTTTTACTACTTTTCTCTTTACATCTCGATTTAATTTTTGATATATCTTGTAATCTTCATCCTTTCTCGTTGACATCCATTTCTGATAAGCAGTTTTCTTCTTGTTGACCAAAGTTTGCATATTCTCCGACCACCATTCTTGATTTTTTGTTTCATGTTTGTCTTTACAACCCAAAGCTTCACTTGCAGCCTCATGAATGCATTTTTTAAGTTGCTGGTGTAATTCTTCCGCTGATATATTTGCCCAATCCACATTTTGTAATTTTGTGGCCACTCGTAATTTGTAAAAAAATTTCGTTGAATCTTCTTTTAAGCTTCCTAGGTTATATTTATGAGATATTACTTCTTGTCTCTTTTCTATATTCTGAACCTGAGTGTTATTGTTTTTGCGATAGTTAACTATCACGTTGGCCATAAGTACACGATGGTCGGATCCACATTCTGATCCACGGTATACCCTCACGTCAGTTGTTTTCAGTTGAGAAGTTTGACGTTGGATTACATAGTCGATTATTTAGTGTTAGTGTAGTAAGTTAGTGTAGTGTAGTGTAGTGGGCATGTTATGAGAGCAAACACAGAAAACATGGAAAGACTCATAATACAAGGAAAGGTAGAAGGCCGAAGATCACGAGGAAGATCCCCAACAAGATGGATAGATCAATTTACAGGAATATGCCAAAGACCTATGCATGGATTAAAAGAAATGACCAGAGACAGAGATCTCTGGAGACGGACAATACACGACATCACGTCGACCACTACACTACCCCTGGGGGGTCAGGATTGAAGAGAGAGAGTAAGTTAGTGTAGTCATGATGATGATGGT